TTAACATACAATCACTATATACTGAAAACTGTATTTTAAATCCTGTTAATATTTGATGACATATAGAGATCTATTCAAGGTATCTAGAAACAATTATCTTTAACTTAGCTCAAAACTAAAATATACTGAAGATGATTTCAAGACAATATACTTGTTCAGATGCGTCTGCCTATTCTAACAGCAAATCACCACTAACATAGAAATGCAATGGAAAATGGCAGCCAAAAAATATCATTTGTGGAGTACTTGGCTCATTTATTGAAAGACAGTCTAGAAATAAATTTGTACTTGTCCTTTCTCCTATCCCATTTCCCACCTCTAGTACTTTAAAACTATTTGATATTACACGTAAATGAATGTTATTTTAAATATATATTATATATATTTTAAATAATGTTATTTTAAATCTGTCACGAAATCTCACTTTCAGATCCCATGCTCTTTTACAGTCAGTCTTCTCCCACACAAGATCCCTACTACCAGAAACATTAGCAAGCAAAAGCAACACAGGCGCCTGCTACGCAATGCAGCACAGGGACAGGTCCCTTGAGTGCAACTTGTTCTCTTGGAATGCTTCTTTGCTGTGAAGAACCCCACACTTTAAATGTAAGACGACAGACAAAAAGGACCCTGGCTATCCACCAGCTCTTCCAACTATCCCAGTTGAAGCGCCAGCTCTGAAAGTTAAGATGCCACCTCGGACATGACGGCTCACAGATGCTACATGGAAGTCTCTAGTAAATCCTGCCTAAATTTTAGAGTTGACAGCAAATAAATGATCCATGGAGCTTTTACAACTAGGTTCTAGACTGCTTTATTATGAAACAATAACCAAAACAATACAAATAAAGCACTGATTCCTGTTAGGTTAGCAATAACAACAAAAAAATGTCAGTGGTAATAACTATCATTTTAATTGTAAAAAAAAATCTCCCTCAGGGTCATATTTTGAGAATTGCAGTATCCTTATTGCCATTCTGCTCACTTCCCTAATGGCCAGTAAAGAAATAGGAGTAAAGCAACCAGAACCACTCTACACTTTCTCTTTTCTTCCTTCTAACCTAACCTCCCTGTCCTTTCAATCTATCAGTAACACCTGCCTTGTTTCCCCAGAGTAGCTAACCAGTGGTTGGCACCAGTTCTGGCCTTTGGCTGAGCTCTGTACCTCAACACTGCAACTACAAGCACACCCCTCAACTTCGTTCCAGATCACAGATGAGCTTCAGTAGAATAGACTCACCACCAACAACCGGAAGTTTGAACTCATTTAACTCAGCATATTTTAACCTAGTAAAATCATTAGGCAAAGGGAGCTGGAACCAGTAACCTCTTCTCTTGTTCAGGAAATAAATTAAGCATTAACAAAAACTTTACCTGCTACTTTTCTCAGTAAATTTACTAATGCTAATAATATAAACCTCTTATTCTTTCGGCCTCTATTAACCCAGTACTGCACTCATGATATTTACCTTAACGTGACCTAAATCACAGCTATAGGTTTAGGTAATTATCCTGCTAGATCTGAAACTTCCCTGGAAGAGCACCACAATGAGAAAAGGAACATTTTATCCACACCACAATGAGAAAAGGAACATTTTATTCATTACTGTAACCCTTGAAATACCTCTGCTTCTCATGCCAATACAGTAAAAGTACCAGTCCTGGTCAGCCACCACTTTCTGTCCATAACCATTCTGCACAATTCTCACCCCTTTTTATTTTTTTTCTCTACCTCTATTTTTATTAAGAAATAATGACCTGTCATAATTTTAATGTAATCAGTGACAAAGCTAATGAATGCCAATCTCACTTTTAGCATATCTGACTTATGAATAATTTTAGTTTTGCCAGTAAAATTATTTTTACAAAAGAGAAAAACAAAAGAGCTATTTACAGTCCTTATTTTCTCTTAAAGTTGCAAGCCTCAGACGTCTGAACTTTGGGTCTGGGATAAAATGTAGGCCAGGTATCAGCCAAATATCAAAGGCAAAGTAAGTACAGTGGAGACTACAGCAAACTGGAGAAAGCAGTACCTTTGAAAAACAAGTTCTACTCACCTCTAGCAACCTACTGTCAAGCAGGAATAGCCACCAGGTACAGCAAAGGCTAGTTACTTTTCAACAGGTGACAGAAATCAAGACTTCCTAGATACGAAGCTATGACATTTTCCTACTTTTAAAAGATGGCAAGTAATTCCTAAAGCTTCCAAATACACTAAAAGCCAGCAACATCTATCTGTGGGCTACATTCTCTCCAAAGGATTCTGCCACTGCAAACTAATGGTTCAAAATTTCTCTACATAATCTCACCCGGGGAAAAATTCTCCTTTAGCAAAACCCTCCAGAGAAGAAAAACCTAAAGAGTTTCACAAAATTAGAGTACCAAAGACAAAGTTCTTTTAATCTAACCTTTTCTCTGTCTTGAAAAATAAAGCTAATAATTTTAGATCTACAATATTCATAGGCTTAAAAAAATATACACATATAGGGAAAATTTTATCTTTTTAAATTTTTTTTTCAAACCTACCAAAAGGAAAATACTCAAATTTTACACAAACTTTTCTAGCCTTATTCAAACTATTGGAAAAGCACAAGACCATACACACATAAAAACAAGATCCAAAGCACCAGCAGTATTAATATACTCGCAGTGGTCTATCTGCATCTTGTCACTTGACTCTTGTGAGCAACAGCACAAAACCACCTGGAAATAAGGTGGAATCAGGGAGCCTGGACTTCCAAGCCGGCTAACAACTCAAGTCTGTTACCTCCAGCTTCTTAACAGCATGCTATCAATAACTAAAGTGGTCAGTTATTAGTCACCAATACTAATTTAGCCCAAGAATGTTCCTTCAATTCTTTTTACAAAAAATGGACATTATTTGACCGAGTTCAGACTTTTTATTCCCATTTAAGAATAAAAATTATAGCCAACACTTGAATTTCACCCCTAAAACTGCTCAACTTTCTGCTAGGAGCTTTTATGAAGTTAAAATAAAAATTGTAATATAATCAATCATGGTAGGATTTCCCTTGCACTTCAAAATAGCCTCTAAAATAGTTATTAGATCTCAATGCAGTGCTAGTACCTGTAATCCCAGCTACTTAGGAAGCTAAGGCAAGAGGATCACTGAAATTTGAGGTCATTCTGGAAAATATATTGGAACTTTGTCTCAAAAATAAATAAAATAGATAATTAATTTACTGGAACACTTAGTATGTGCCAGACCTTGTACTGAATACCTTTTAAAGCAAATTTGTACTTGAATGGCAGACTAACAATTTGCTAGGAAACAGAGATGCAGCTCAGGAGTAGAGCATTTGCATAGCATGCACAGGGAACCTAGGTTCAATCCCCAACACTACTTTAAAAAAAAAGAAAAAACTAGAAATAGAGGGTACTTTTAAAATATGAACAACTTTTACGTACCCAGTCACAGAAATGTTATTGTATTCCTAAACACACAATAATGGTAACAATCTCTCCTTGCACACATGCAATTTTCCTTAAACATATAATCATGTTTATCAAAAATTTAACAGGAACACGCAGCACTCTCCACTGAATTTTGCTGTGAACCTAAAAGTCCTCTGAAAAGCAGTCTATTAAAACTAAGGGATGAATCAGAACATCCTAAATTTAGTAATGAAATGGCACAAGATTGTACTTTTCTTTTTTTTAGTTTTAAAAGTTGCATTTGTTTATTATAAAAACAACACTAAACATGTAACGGGCATTTATTAAACACTCAGTTGACCAATATTCTTCAAAAAGACTTCATATGCAAGTGGTGCTGTGATATTAGCATTTTAACACTTCTAGAATAACCTTAGTAAAGTCTGCAATACATACATAAGCTGGAATAAAATCAAACAATAACTGGACTCTGTGATGCTACACAAAGCATAAAACAACGTATCTATACTATGGCTGGCATACATAAAATCATTTTTCCATCTTAAGTATCAAACAAGTCACTTTAAGTCAACAATAGATTTGTATTACAAAGTCTTTTCCTAATGTGTTACTTTCTAAATGTCTTTTCTAAATTCTCTTAAAAAAGCTTGTTTAAAAAATACAAGACTTTCTATCCCCCAGAGAACTGTCAACATATGAAGCACATCTTTTTTCCTCCACTCAAGGTTGTTGAAATTCTAAAGGCCTATTAAGACTGACATGAGGACAAATTTTGCCTACAATTACCACTTTCCATTTCAACAACTTATTTTTATCAAAGCCTACTTTTATTAAAAAGGTGCAGATTCTAACGTACACAAAAACTGTCTGGTATATTTTGCAGTACACCGTCAAAGACTGTATTGTCCACCAACAAAAATGTCAAAGGGGATCAGGATTAATTTTTATTTTGCTCTACGTACAAAATCTCAACATGAAAGTACAATGCAAATACAAACAAACAGCAATTTCGTGGAACAAGTTAAAAACAATTAAGAATGCGCCCTTAATCACACCTGTAATTCACAGAACTCCCTCCCTGACTTCTCAGAATCACGATGCTTTCAGCAGTCAGAAGTTGAGATTTACAGTACATCCCAGACAAAACATTTGACCAAGGCGTTCTCCAAATTATAACACAACACTCATTTAAACACTGGAGCTAGAAGCTGCTCCTGAAGACCCAGCTGCACCCGGCGTGCACACAGGTAACAAATAGTTTGTCACGGCCATACAGCTGGCAGGCTCAGCTGAATCCGGGGACATAGTTCCATCTGGACCACGCAGAATCACATCTGGTTCTCCCTGGACACATATTTTCCCATGCTTGCCATCTTCAAAAAACTTGACATCCTTCCCGAGGGGCAATAAATGCACGAAGCCACCCGGGGAGTCATGTCTGTAGAAGAGACTGCCGATCCAATGAAATCCCTACGCCTCGCGAAACCTGAAGCGCCCAAACTTTTCCAAGGGCAGAAGCTGCGGGGAGATCCCTGACTCCCATCTTCCCCGATCCCCGAGCCGCAGCCACCGCGTTCACTTACTGGTTGGTCGGAGGGGCGGTCAGCGGGATGGCCACCTCTTCTTCCTCGTACTCAGGTCCGTCCAGGGAGTCGCCCTCGTCCACAGTGCCCAGGCTGGCGCCCAGCGAGGGCAGAAGCGGCGGCAGTGGGGGCGGCGGCGGCGGCGGTGGCAGCGGCGGAAAGGCGCCAGGGGCGAGGGGCTCAGCAGGCGGCGCCCCGGGACCCCTAAGCAACGCCGCTTCGGCCCCGGGCAGCCCCGACGCCCCCAGAGTCCCCGCCGCAGACGCGGCGCCCAGGAGCCCCGAGCCCAGAGCCCCGGTCACACCGGCCTCCGCCAGCCCGGGATAAGCGGCGGCGGCGGCCACGGGCAGGGACACGGGCATCTTCACCCGGCAGGCGGCCGGGAAGCCACCCGGGCCCGCCGCGCCTCCGCTGCCCGCTGCGGCCGCCACCGGGCCGCCCTCCTCCCCGCCGGCCTCGGCCGCCATCATGCTGGAACCCGCCCCGCGCCGCCTACCGCGCCCGCCCGGGAGCCCCGGGGGCCAGCAGGCCCGGGCTCCGAGCCGCCCCACCCAGGCGCGGCCCCCTGCAGCTCCCCAGGCAGAGGAAACAACAACAAAAGGAGCGCCCGCCGCCGCACCGCCTCAGCCGCAGCCGCCGCCGCCGCCGCCGCGCCCCCTCCTCGGGCCGCAGCCCCGGCCCCAGAGCCGCCGGTTACGGGAAGCCGAGTGGGCAAAAAAGCCAACGCCTGCACACAGGCAGGCCCGAGCTCCCCTCGCACACCCACACTCGCGCGCGCACACTGGCACACGAGCGGAAAAAGTTCCTAGCTGGGCCGAAGAGGAAGGGAAGCCCTGGGGAAGCAGGCGGAGGCGGCTGCCGCCCCTTCGGCCGCCGCCACCGCTTCTTCACCACCCCAGTTCCGGCCACCCCCACCGCAGCCACCGCCGGTGCCGCTGCTGGGGCTGGAGCCACTGCCGCCACTTCATCCTCCACCAGGCTAGAGCCGGGCGGGGTGGAAGCGGAGGAGGGAGGGGCGGGTGGTGAGGAAGCCGCTGTACAGCTCGCTACCTGGAGCGCTCAGTGAAACCCGAGAGAAAGGAAGGCGGAGCCGGCGGGAAGGGGCGGGGAAAGGGAGGGCGCCGGGGGGTCCCGGGCCGCTCCTGCGCTTGCGCCCCGCGTGGGGGCGGAGCCGCGCCCGGAGAGAGAACAAGGAAGTGGCTGTGCGCGTGCGCGTCCTTGTTGGCGGCCTGGGCGCGTGGCGGCCTCGCGGCTCCGCTGGATGAACCTGGAAGACGGACTTCCGAGCGCGCGCGTAGTGGCAGAGGGGCCGGCCGGCCGGAGACGGGAAGGAAAATGCCCAGAGGCCATTCCCCTACTTCCCGGGCGGGAGAGGTCTGCGCGTGCTTTTCGCTCTCGCTTCGTCTTTGCCACACGCCGTGAAGCACCCCAGGGCCGCTGCGCATCCAAGAGAGAAGAAGTCTGTCCGGGGACTCGAGGGAAGGAGACGTCACGGCCTAGGAGCTGGGCAGGAAGTGTGTCGTGGTGGGTGTGGGGTCCTGTTTCTGACACAGATGTCTGCCTTTGCGTGCTTTTCCTTGCCGGCCGTCGCCCACGCGCGCATCTCCGGGAGAAACAAAGCAAACCGCGGTAGCTTTGGCCTGGTTCATGCAAAGACTGCAGGACATGGGCCCTAGGGCACTCAGTCGGAGAACAGGACACCTTCAGGTCAAACCTCAGGAAGGACCCCGATTGCTAGTTACCACAATTTCCAAAATTACCAATGAACTCAGCTCTCACTCTTATAGACAAGGCGTAGGGGGTTTGGGTCATATATACATATATTTATAGTTGCCCCTTTTAATTAAGGTTGTCCCTTAGTATCCTCAGGGATACCACTCAGGACCTCTGTGGGTGCTGAAGTCTGAGAATGATGAAGCCCTGTATGTAAAGTGGCTTAGTCTTCACATAACCTACGCACATCTTGTCATATACATGAAGTCATCTCTAAATTACCTATACTACCTACTGCACAAAGCTGTCAAACTGTATTGCTCAAAGAATCACAAGAAAAAAGTTGTATTCTGTACAGATGGAATTTTTTTTCTGAATATTTTCCATAGGAAGTTAAATTCATCCTATGGATGCACCACTGCAGTTATAAATGGCAGGTATTGTACAGGTATTCATTTAAATGGAGAAATCATTACCATTGTGTAAAATGCTTTCATATTAGTGATTTGTCTTTTGGGATTCTTACGTTGGTCTTTTCCAATAGCGGATATCATTAATACTGACCTTTGAGGTCGTTGTTTTCCCTCGTAAGGATGACATCAAACCAACATAAAAGCACACTGGGGATAGCAAATGGCTGAAAGTGAAACCTGGGGAAAGGGGGAAATTTTTGTTGACAACAGTCGAATCTGATTCATACCACTTAGCTATTACACAGGGAATCAACTGGAAGAGTGACAAATGAGTTATCAGTAGGGCTGAAATATAAGAATTCCAATCAATAGATTGAGACCAGTAATATTCTAGGAACTTGTAAGAAATGCAGCTTCTCAGTCCTCAATCAAAAATTATGCAACAAGCTTATGTTTTAACAAGCCTTCCACAGAGACTGTACACATTAATAGAGCCACTATATTATCAAAAAGATGTGCAGTACCTTCAAGAGATTCTAAAAGAGTAGATGTCCTTCATTAAGGTGAGTAGGTAAGAGATGCAGGTATTATGTTGCTGACCTGTGTGTTGTTCTAGAAAAAAGTTTAAAAGATAAAGTGCAGAATGAAGCATTTTGATAATCCTTAAAGATAGTAATGATATACTGTTTCATATGATGACCTGAGGACAGTTTTTTCTGAATTAGGAGATCATCAAAGTACCTACCCCAAGTACAACATCCCCAACAAGTTTTTACATAGGTGATACTTTGAAATCTATAGTGTGTTAACATGCCAGTCCTCAAGCTGTCCTTTCTGACCATTACCTCTGAAATATTTGGCTTTGAACTGATGGGGTTTACCAACTCTTGATTGTTCTTCACTTCTCTAATTGCTGAAACATCATCTACTTGAGAACTTTGATCAGATTCACTAATCTAGAATTAACTTTTCTTTGAAAAGGTTTTAGCCCTTAAAGGTCAATATTTACTATAGTCTAATATCTATTATACAATGAATTGTATTGTTTTCTAGTTACTTTTAGTTATATATGTCTACAAAGTTATGACCTGTTGTCTACTTTTTAACCTAGCCCAGTTTTAGGTAACCTTAACACACAGCCTTGAACAGATGTTTACTTTAAAAAGAAGAAAAACACTGGATCATTTCAATTCACATCCTCAGAAATCGCTTTCAAACACATTGCTCGTTTGTAAATCAACCTACTGAAGTTCAGCATTAAAGTTGATATAGTCCTTCTCATCCAAAAAGATTACCACATATTCCTATGAAGTATTTTCAAACATTTTATATATTTCTTTTATGGTATTTATCTTAGTTGCTTTCTTCATTGCTTGGACAAAGTAGCTGATACCCACAAATTAAGAAAGGAAAGGTTTGGGGCTGGGGATTTAGCTCAGCAGCATAAGCACCTGCCTTGCAAGCAGGTGGTCGTGAGTTCAATCCCTGGTACCAATAAAAAAAAAAAAAAAAAAAAAAAAAAGGAGAGGTTTACTTTAGTTCACAGAGTTTGCAGAGTTTTGCTGAGGAGCTCCATTGCTGGTCAGCCTGGCAGTAGAGAATGGGAGACAAAACCAACTCAGCATGTAGCAAGAAACAGTAAGTAACAAGAGAGGAACCGGGACCAGAACACCCTTCCAGCCCACATCCCCTGGAGACCCATCTCCTCCAAATAGCTTATCTCACGACATAAAATTGAGCTAAAATCAGTGGAGAAGTCTCCTGGCCCTTCCCAACTCATTTGGTCCCAAGGTCCTCCTGGCTCATTAGTCAGGCTGATGAGGAAGACTGTGATCAAAGAGGAGAACAAAATGGGGAAAACACCTCTTTCCTGTGGTCACACTGCAGTGACATATGTATTCACCCTTAAGGGTATCTGATTTTTCCTGGAACCCCCATGAACTTTGGGTGATTCCTTCTGTATCAGAAAACAGTATCACCCAAGTGTGGTAGAGACTAGGACATTTATAAGGATAAAGACTGAAGGAAGCATGGATCTAGAAGCACAAGGATCCTAGGTGTGTCTGCAGTTGTGAATTTAGACTCCCTCTCTTTCTCTGTCATCCCTGAGATTGATTCAATGCTGGTTTTGAGACATACCAACTTTGTTCAGCTATTCCTCCACAATAGGTGTCACCAATAATATTACTGGCCCCCAAAGGGGATATTTTCTAAATATTAACTGTGGTACTTAATTCATATTTAAATTTGTTTCAGCAGTTTTCTATTAACAAACCCAGGTCTAAAGTAGCTGTGGAGAGGGAAATATAATGTGTGATTATCTTTCTTAAACATTCTCAAGTTTTTCAGACTTGTTTCAGTAAAGGATAGAGTAAGTAAGAAATAGAGCCAAATGAGGTAAGTATCTGAGCCATGAAGTATAAGTACTGTAAGATGTCATTTTTATTCAGGAATTGGGAGATAATCAAGTCACAGATTGCTACTCAATCTTCCCTTCCAGGAGGCATATTTTCCCATGTAGATCATTCTCTTCTTGGTTTCTTCAGTTAAATCAAAGCTACGTATTTCTTTTTCCCCATATATGTTTGCTTGCTAGGGTATTTTTAAGCTATTATTCCTTTCCTTCCCTTTCTGTGAAGTGGTTTTTGTTGTTTTTCTTTTTTAAACTTGGGATTAGACTACCAGGTTGTAAAAAGTGTTTTTACCTGACAGAGGTGCCTTACATAGACTGTCAAGTTGAGGAGAGGGATTTGATACTTTGCATTTGTTTTTAAAATTAAATTAATCTTTGATAAGAGTTGGGTTAGTGCTTTTTTAGGGTTAGTGCTTGACTACAAATTTTTAGGAATTAGCCCTTGACCACCCATTTTGGGTGACTTGTGTCACCAGCAGTCCTGTTACTCTCCATGACTAACTATGTAAGTGCTTAAATGGAGTAAATTGCTTTTTTATATTTCAGAATTTCCTAAGTGGACTAGTTCACTGGTACATGTTATACCTTCTAAAGCCCTGTCTATGAGCATATGAGACTAGGTAGGGTACTTCTAGGTATAAACCACAACATATTACCCCATCCCCAAAAGATTCATATGTGCCTCTATGCAAAATGCATTTAGTCCATGTAAGATTGCCAAAGTCCTTAGAGTTTCAGCATTGCTGGAAAGTCTAAGTCCAAAGTCTCCTCTGATATTTAAGAAAAACTACTAGGCTATGAGCTGCTATCAAAATGGAAAGAAAGTGAAACAATTCCAATATTGAATGGTATAGAGTAAGCATTTGCATTTCAAAAGATAGAAATAGGAGTTTAGAAAAGAATGAAACCAAAGCAAGACTGAACTTGAACAGGGCAAACATTAAACCTAGTATTTCCACATCCAGCAGCTGGGCCAATCTGTGACAAGATGTGAATTCCACAGTACTTGGGCATCCCACCCACCAACGTCACTCTTGGTGGTTGTAGCTCTCTTGGTATCTCTCTTAGGCTACCTTTGCTCACTCCTTGATGATTTCCTCCCGTGGTTTTTCCCACAACCTCCCACTGCACTTTCAACTTCACTGTCACAGCTTTATATATTGCCCTCTCAGGAGCATACTGCCTGGCTTCCCAGGCCTTCTGAAATCTTGGTGAAAGCCTCCTATGAAATCAGTGCTGCCATTATGGAGGATGGTGTTTTGGGGCTCTTCTAAAAGCAAAGTCTTTCACCTTTGTAATTTTGAGCTTGCAAAGGGTTAGATCTTGCTGATTCCTAACATTTCCTCAAGACTTTTTTTTTTTTTTAATTTTCTAGATCTAAGATACTTGGGCTCTTTTTAAGGCTAATATTTTTAGCAACCTTCTGTACAACATTTTTATAGGCCCCAGATTTACTAGAGTTTCTTTTTGGACCAAACTTAAAATTCTTCAGATCATTTCAGTGTGCCATGTGCTCTTAAATCTCAACATAGAACAGGTTAAGCTGT